TACAGACAGATACAGACAGATACAGACAGACAGGTACAGACAGTTACAGACTGTTACAGACAGGTAGACAGACTCACCTGCGTTGTTTATCAGGATGTCCAGTCGCTCTTCACTGTCCAGGAAATCTTTAGCGAACTGTCTGACGGAGTAAACAGAGGCGAGGTCCAGGTGTCTGATCACCACGTTACCGTTTCCTGTCGACCGCCGGATCTCCTCTGCTGCTCGCTCCGCCCGCGTCAGGTCCCTGCACGCCATCACCACCCGGGCCCCTGGTCCACAACAGAAACACACCAAGGGCTCATTTATAACTTGACAAAACAAAACAGGGTCTAAAAGATGCGTACGCCACTTCTCACGCTAACATTAGGATTTATAAAAACAAACTTGACAAAACACATTTCCAGGCCTTTGTGCGCATGAAGACTTTTAGTATGTTTTTTAAATGAGGCCCCTGAACATCACACAGATGAAAACGTCTCACACACACACACACACACAAACTGAACCCACACCCACACACACACACACACACAATAATCCCTGTAATCGGTTCAGATGGTTTCAGCCTCTGACGTTACGTTGACCTCTGACCTCTGCAAGTGTCACATTAACAAAGTCTGCTCGCTTAATTTTCAAATATTTTAAATTTTAAATTCATAATTTAATTCATCAAACTTTAAAAAGTCACGGCCAATTCGATATCTTTTAAATACGATGTGATGATAATAATAATAATGTAAATGTCCCCACAATGTGAGTAAAACACAACCACACACTGACCTCTATGTGCCAGATCTCTGCTCGTCTCTTTGCCGATGCCAGTGTTTGCTCCGGTGATCAGAACCGTCTTTCCGTCCAGACGAACTGGACAACGACACACGCCACCTGCGATCCACCTCCTCAGCACTGCCACGCCTGTTCACACACACAGAGCTGTTACCATGGAAACAACAGCACAACATGATGAATGTAATAATTTGTTGTAATTTGTATTTTTTGAAACAGAACTTGAATCTTTTCATCCCAGTCTCGGTTTTTAGTGGTTTTATAAGATAGACGTTCATGAACGTGATCATTTCATCAGTGTGACAAGAAGCTGAAAACTAAAGTGAGTTAAGGAAACGCTGAAGTTGAATTAATAACATTTAAACGTGTGTTTGTTCACGTTTTCATGTTCGACTCCTGATGCTCAGACAGAGACTCACAATCAGGATGTTAAAGGGAACATGTGACATCAGTGAGTTTCATTTTGTTTCATAAATCAAAGTGATCCAGGATCAGATTCATCTGATTAACGTCTGATTTAAAATCACTGCAGCACAAATCAAACACAGTCACATAAACTCATGGTTACATCAATAATGACTATAACTGTTGATCAGAAACTGTGGAACTGCTGCTGACGATTATTCTCACTGATGATGAATTGATTGACAGAATTAGTTTCCAGTGTGACGAACTAATGATTTTAAATGTTGACAGGAGGTCGAAGAGTGAAACTGATGTGAATCATTGAAACATGAGAGAGTGATGAAGAATGAGACGTCTTACACATCAGAGAGAGTCCCAGCACAGCTCCGCACCTCAGCAGCAGGCCCCCCCGAACCTCCTCCATCCCTGTGTCCGACCCCCCGGCCCCGGCCCCGGCCCCGGCCCCGGGCCACGGCAGCATCAGAAACCCTCCTGTAGCTGCAGCTCTCATCCTGCTGCCGGAACACACTGAGGCCGAGCCAGGCCAGGGGGCGGGGCCGAGGACAGGGGGCGGGGCAGATTAACAGATTAGAGCAGATTATCCTGAACCGAGTTTATCTGAGATCAGAGTTAAGAACAAAAAGTACACAACGCAACAAGAACAACACATGTACAACACAACGCAACAACAATACATCTACAACACATCAACAACAACAACAACA